AACTGTCGACATCGGAAGAAAGCACCAGTTGCCATTAAGCAGGTAAAGGCAACTGAAGTGATTGAGATCAGTCCTGATACAGTTGAAAAGGTAGTAGAGGCTAAGGATAAGAAGAAGCAAGAGAAGAAAAATCAGGCAGCTGTGTCGGGCCAGAAGAATGTAACATACTCCTCTGTCCTAAGTGCTCGAAGCAAGGTAACATTCTTTGTTTTCCACTTACACTGATTCCATTTTAGAGTGGACAGATTGTTTGTGTATCTGATCATGCTTTATACACGTTGGACAGGCTGCTAATGAGATAGGCAACAGACCCAAAGAGCAGATTTCTGACATCGATGCTGCAGACAAGGACAACGATCTTGCTGCTGTGGAGTATGTCGAGGACATGTACACATTCTACAAGGAAGTAGAGGTGCGTTTACACTGTTCCAGAGTTTTGTAGTCTAGATCTCCCACGATTGCTTGTGAATCAAGCAATACAAGAACTAGATGTGAACTTTCCCTTTGTGATGCTGCAGAATGAGAGTCGGCCTCAGATGTACATGCAAACACAGCCTGAGATCAATGAGAAGATGAGATCGATTCTGATAGACTGGATAGTAGAAGTTCATCTCAAGTTTGAACTGTCCTCTGAGACCCTCTACCTTACCATCAATTTAACCGATCGTTTGTTGTCCACGAAAACTGTCCCAAGGAGAGAATTGCAGCTCGTAGGCATTGCCGCCTTGCTCATAGCTTCAAAGTATGAAGAAATCTGGCCTCCTCAGGTATAAACATATATATATACACAGCAATCTTACTTGTTTGTAAGTTCATTATTGCACTATGTAATAACGTGACCATTGTAATCCTTGAACAGGTTAATGATTTAGTATACGTCACGGACAATGCTTACACCAATGAACACATTCTAATGATGGAGAAAACCATACTTGGAACCCTCGGATGGTACGTGACTGTTCCAACACAGTACGTGTTCCTTGCCAGGTTCATCAAAGCCGCCATTTCTGATCCTGAGGTGAGAGAGATTTTCAAAAGACATGATTTTGGGATCTGGGCTTTCTTGAAATCGTCTTATATAATACACAATTGTAACATTCTTTTTGTTGTTGTTGCTTCTTCTTTGCTTTTTTGTACAGATGGAGCATATGGTTTACTTCCTTGCAGAGTTGGGTATGATGCATTACGACACGTTAATGTTCTGTCCTTCCATGCTTGCTGCCTCAGCTGTCTATGCAGCGAGATGTTCATTGAACCGGAGCCCTGCTTGGACCGATACCCTGAAGTTCCACACCGGCTATTCAGAATCTCAACTAATGTATGTAATGACAAACCCAAGAAGGAAAACAGAATCATGACGAACCCTAGAATCTGAACTAATAATGTTTTGTATCTAATGTGTGTTGTTGGGTGAGCAGGGATTGTGCAAAGCTTCTAACTTTCATTCACTCGAAGTCCCGGGAGAGCAAGTTACATGCCGTGTGCAAGAAGTATTCGAGCTCCGAGAGAGGAGCTGTTGCTTCGGTTGGACCAGCCAAGTCTCTCTTGTCTGGTGGCTCTGATTCTGCAACTTCAGCAGCTTAGATATATGGACAGACAATCTTGTCTCTTGATATAGTACCAAACTTAGCCATCATCTTGTTCTGGTTGAGAAACAAAAACATGTTTTGTATGAACGAATTCAAAGTATTAATGAATTCTGTCTCTCTTGCGTTTGGCAATTTTTGGATTCGGGAATCACTGAATACTTTAAAAGTTCTGTAAAGAGAAAGATGTGTTTGTAGTTAAATTCAAAGTATCAAATGAAAACATGGGACTTTCTGACAAATTGAAACGTCGTGTTCAATTTGTAAAGAAGTAAAAATACGTGGAGGTATATAAAATTTACTCGTGATTGGTTTCGTTGCGAAAATTTAGGCAAAGGCGTTCAAGCTTATATCTTTTGCAGAGTAATCGCAAAGGTAGGTAGATCCTCCTCCTTGTCGTCTTCGCTTCTGATGTGGTCTCTGATCATTTTGCGGCTGTCGGATAAGGATTTCGGGTGTAAGATTCGATGTAGAGTGTGTGATTTTTCTTCCATGATCTAATGAAGCTAGCCCAGTTCGTGGAGTGTACCGTCTATGATTATGTCTAGCCACAGATTGTTATAGGCCAGCACGAGTGCATTGTTGAAGAACTTGCTTATCATATTGCTGGAGAGGAATGAAGCTGTTTTAGCGCCGGATTTATTGAAACGATCGTATAGCTTCACGTACTGAGCCTCAACAGAGTGAGAATCTAAGGACCTTTTAATTTGCAGGCAGACATTCAACATTGCTTGCGAAATTTTGGTTTTCTGCTTTCTCCACATCAATTTTGCTAAACTTTTGCTGGAAAGCAGTGGCTCTTCTTTGTAGGCTCATCAAGTCCTGATGGATTTCGAGGAACCCTTGAAGGATCCTCTTGTTTCCATTTATATTATATTAATACCAGGCCACCATAGCAGAACGAGCCACTGTTTTTCAGCAACACTGTGAACGGGCGGCAATAACAAAGTTATAAAATTATAACAACAACTGACAGTTTGGCCGAGTGGTCTAAGGCGCCAGATTTAGGCTCTGGTCCGAAAGGGCGTGGGTTCAAATCCCACAGCTGTCAATATTCCTATTTTTTGTTTCTTTTAAATGAAAACGACACCGTTGTAAAGTTACGGACGATTTCTGAGGGTGTTTAGGTAATTTAACGTAGTCTTTAGCTGAACCCTAATTATAAATCAGCTTTCTTCTTCTCCCCCATCGCTCGCGTCGACAGCCTCCACGAACATCCAAAACCCTACCCTATCTCCTCCACCCATCTCTTGTTAACCATGGTAAGCTCTTCTTCTCTCTCCATGGATGCTTTGTAGTTTGTACATTAGCAAAGTGTTTTTAGCGTTTTTATTTTGCACGCTAAAATTTGCGACGCGAGAACTTGTTTAGATAGATTCCGCTTCGATTTTGTCTTAGATGCCGATTCTCCAGCACTTTGTTGGTTTTCTCGGAGTTGTCTCAATTCCAGTTGCGGCCTCGATGTTAATCTTGATTCATCGAGAAGCGATACGTGATCTTAATTAGCTGTTGCTGACTGATCCATGGATCAGAGTAATGGATTTTTCTTCGACGCATTGATTTTCATGTTTTGTCTGCATCCATGTTCGGAGTAGTGCTTACCGAGAAATCGTAGTTGAAGATTTTTATTTTCCTGTTTTGTTTCCCATGTAGTCGAGGAGAAAGACCAGAGAGCCCAAGGAGGAAAATGTCACTCTCGGACCTGCTGTCCGTGAAGGAGAGCAAGTCTTTGGCGTTGTTCACATCTTTGCATCGTTCAATGACACGTTCATTGTAAGTCGCTTGATTGAAGTATTTAGCTTTGTATATATATAAATATATCTAGATTGTCTTTCTTTCTTGCATTTACGACAATGGAGGTTGTTATATTTGCAGCATGTGACTGATCTGTCTGGAAGAGAAACACTTGTTCGTATCACTGGTATGTTCTGTACTCTCTGTTTATGTTGAGTATTGATTTCCTTCTTTCTTAATGCAAGATTCTCAGTTGATTTTGTCTCTGCTGTGGTGAATTGGAGTTTTTTGCCTCCTTAATTTGTACACGTTTTGTTCTTAATCTACATTTACGCTAGATAAGAAAAAAAGATTTGTCCTTTGTATCATGATTGTTGGATAGTGGATTTTGAGCTGTTCTTTGTGTTCTTGGTATCCTTTGTCTCCTTTCAGGTGGCATGAAGGTCAAGGCTGATCGTGATGAGTCCTCTCCATATGCTGCCATGCTTGCAGCCCAAGATGTTGCTCAGAGATGCAAGGTTCTTCTTCTTCAGATCAAACCTTTTGAATACTATATGAAAATCACTCTGGTTGTGTGAACGTTCTCTCGATTTCTAATTTTTGTAAACTCTTGCAGGAGCTCGGGATCACAGCCCTTCACGTGAAGCTCCGTGCCACTGGAGGAAACAAGACCAAGACCCCTGGTCCTGGTGCTCAGTCTGCCCTCCGAGCTCTTGCTCGTTCCGGCATGAAGATTGGCCGTATAGGTACCGCTTTCAAAGTGTTTTCTGTTTTAATCCCCTGAAATTTAGACCAAATGGATTCATGAATTTGATGCAGAAACCGATTTCATAGCTGGAAAATTGATATGGTAAATAATCGTGGGGCTGATTGATGTAAATGGTTGTAATGATTCGCAGAGGATGTGACACCAATTCCGACCGATAGTACCCGCAGAAAGGGAGGTAGAAGGGGAAGGAGGCTGTAATTGCTTTTGCCCCCGTGGTTTCAGATGGTATTATCGTTCACTTTGCCCATTTTCTCCCTTTTTTTGGGTTAAATTCTACACTTGCTATGTTCTTTCTCGCCCGTTGCTTAAAGACATTGTAGTGTTTTTTATTGTGACTTTGAAATTTGGAGTTACCCAGAAAAAGAAGCAGAGGATGGTATTTATCTGAATTTTGTTTTGTTACAAAATGGCTGGTTATGGTGCTTTTTTTTTTGTTGTCTCCTAAAACAACGTCCTGCAAATTTGGAAACATGGAGTTATCAATGTTTCGAACACTTCCAAAGTGGGAATGAACCTTGAAAGTGTTGTGGAAAGATTTTTACAATGGTGGATAATTCGGCTGTTCTTGATCAAACTCAACCAACTCAGAACATAAGATTAAAACTGAAATGTTAAAGAATAATCTATTGAAAAGTCGAATGGAATCCAGAATTTATTTTGGAAAAATGACTCTTTTTTGTTAAAAATTTAATAATATTATGAAAAGAACCCACCTTTTTTTTAGCAATCCAACAAAAAGAAACAAATCAGCTCCGGTAAAATTTACTCGATAAGCTACATTTAAATAAAATTTTAAAAATCATTTACATTTCATAAAATAAGGTTCTTAAAACAATATTTGATTTAACAAGTAAATCATTTTGTGAAGTGGAATGAACTTTAGAAGAGTTAAGTATTTATTTTTAAGTTTGACAAAATAAACACTTAAGTCTTCTACGATTGTCAAAATAAACAAAATGAATTACATGGTCCAATGAGATGCAAATACGTCAGATTATTTTACTTAGTTTTTTTTTTACAATCGAAAAAAGTTCATATATTTTTTTAGATCACTAAAAATTTTTAGTGTTTTTTTATAATCGCATAAAAGTTTATGTATTTTTTGGATCATTTAAAAAGTTCAGTATTTTTTTAGATTCGTTTAAAAAGTTTAATATTTATTTGACAAAAAATAAAGTTCAGTGTTTTATTTGTCAAAATTATAAAATTCAGTGTTTTTTTACTCTATATTATATTCAAATAAAATTCGAAGGTTAATTCTACTTCACAAAAATAAATGGGCTTTTAAAAATAATATTGCGTTTAACATTCATGTAAGACCTTAAAAACGAATTACAAGTTTGAATTTATATGCATAGAAATATAACTTACACCATATTTTATCAATATTATTAAAATAACCCAACTTTTTTAACAATAAAACAAAAATAAGTAGATCAAGTCTAGTCTGTTATAAATGAATAGTGAAGCTACGGTACTGTTCACGCAGCCGGACACTGTTCACGCAGCCGGGTACTGTTCACGCCGCCATACGGTTACTGTTCATAAATACGTATACGTGAACAGTAACTTCGGATTTTCTATAAATAGCTCATTTCCCTCCTTCATTTGTACATAATTCCAAGAAAAGAAAATTATTGAAATCTTGTTCCTGAATCTCTCAAACGATCGATTTCGGTTTCTAGTTAACGATCTGATTCTCGGGTCTTCTATATTTCTTCGTTTTTCATAACACGTTATCAGCACGAACGCTCTTCTACGACAAAGGTAATATTATATATTCGCTCTAATGATATATACACATATTAATTGATTCTTGAATAGAATTAACCCCAAGCTATATATAAATATCAGTTAATTATTGTTTAAATTAATGGACGGCTAAGCCGCCTTAATTATTTATTACTATTGGACGGCTGAGCCGCCTTAATTATTTATTACTGTTGGACGGCTGAGCCGCCTTAATTATTTATTACTATTGGACGGCTGAGCCGCCTTAATTATTTATTTGTTACTGTTGGACGGCTGAGCCGCCTTAATTATTAATTTGAAATATTGTGTTATTTATGGACGGTCGTACCGCCTAAATTGTTTTATCTTTATGGACGACAATGCCGCCTGAATTATTTTACTTTTGCATACGGTAATACCGCCGCATATAAACAATTATATTATCTAATCTATATAAATTAATAAATATTTACCATGCAAAATATTATCATATATAATATTGATGGTCATTTATACAGAAAATGTTTTGAACAAACAAAATATGTTAGTAATAAAATTTACGATTAAAGTTTTATAAATTCTTTTATATATCGTTATATTAATTATAAATTATTTGTTTCCTCAATAATTAGTTAATTATATATATAGCATGATCAATTAATTTTACAAAATAGTTTAACAATTCGTTTTGATAAATTATTTCATATAGTTTCATGATATGATATAAATTGTTAAAATCATTTATAAAATTTAAATAAATAAATAAAAAACTCCAACGGCTATAATTAAAAAAAAATAATAATAATAATAATAATCAAATTTTGGCTCCTCCCCAACGGCTAGGAATAGTGAATTTTACCCTATAAATACACTCCACCATTCACTCAAAAACTCACACTAAAATCATCTTTCTCTCTTCTTCTCCCACGAAATAAAAAAAAATCTCCCAAGATGGATTTTATTAAAATTTTCTTTGTTGTAGCAATTGTAGTAGTAACATTTGGTATTTTCTTTGATAAAAATCTAAAAAAAAATCTCCCAAGATGGATTTTATTAAAATTTTCTTTGTTGTAGCAATTGTAGTAGTAACATTTGGTATTTTCTTTGATAAAAATCTCGACCCAGTTTTGTTTCCAATTTGCGTTGCGGTCTTACCTCTCGTGTATGTGTTACTAATTATAGCAATTTATATGTAATCATGCATTTCGTTATGTTGTATTCTCTATGATAATGAATAAAGCTAATATATGGTTTGTTTTTTTCTGTTTAGTCATAATGGCAAGAATGGCTAATATCGAGTTCGAGGTCCTCGACATATCGGGGAAAAATTATCTATCGTGGCAATTGGATGCTGATTTGCACTTGGAATCAAAAGGTCTTGGTGCCACAATTAAAGAGAAAAGTGCATCAACTGAAAATAAAGCAAAAGCACTAATATTATTGAGGCATCATATTCATGATGATTTAAAAAAGGAATATCTGACAATCAAAGATCCTGCAGATCTTTGGAAAAAATTAAAAGACCGTTTTGATCATCAAAAAACGGTAATCCTCCCCAAGGCAAAATATGAGTGGATTCATCTCAGATTTCAAGATTTCAAAACTGTCAGTGAATATAACTCGGCGATGTACCGAATCACATCAGTTTTGAAATTATGTGGTGAAACAGTTAGCGAAAATGAGATGTTGGAAAAAACCTTTTCAACTATGCACGCCTCGAACATTATCCTCCAACAACAGTATCGAGAAAAGGGGTATACAAAATACTCAGAGTTTCTCTCATGTCTTCTATTGGCCGAGCAGAATAATGAATTACTGATGAAAAATCATGCATCTCGGCCGACAGGTTCTGTACCATTTCCTGAAGTAAATGTTACAGAAAATATATCATTCCCTGGAGAGAATGTTATATTTTATAATAACCGAGGACGTGGTTATTTTCAAGGTAGAGGCTGAGGTCGAGGTCGAGGCCGAGGACGAGGTCGTGGCGTTAGCCGAAGTTGGAATAGAGGAGGGTAGGATTCCATATGCCTCGGC